GTGTCTCTCCCTCTAGAGTGCAAGCCCCTGAGTAGGAACCTTGGCTATCTTGTTAGCTGCTCTATCCCCACTGCTTAGAATAGTGCCTGGTGCTCTCAAATAATGAAAGGCAGCAAATAATACAAATTGGATGAACTTTTCCTGCTCCTAGTTCTATCACCTCTCATTCTCATTTTCCTTCACTGGCCTTTCCTCTACCCACGAGGTAAAATTTGGTATTCCTCAGGGCTTAGTCCTAGCTCACTTTTCTCCTCATATGCCAGATGGATGTAGTTCCAGCCATTTTCTAGGGGCTCTCAAATCTGCACCTCAAGCCCAGACTTCTGATTTAACTTCCAACTTTGATCTTTACCTGGATGTCCCACAAGCATGGCAAATTCCCCATGTCCCATCTTTCCCATCCAACAACACAACCAAAAACTAACCTCCCCTTCCTCTTATACTTTCTGTTTCAGGGAATAGTAAGTACCTGGATTTGCCCAATAGCAAAAGCAAGACTGGGAGTCATCCCAAACTCGGTGCTTTCTCTCTACTCACTCTTCCCCCACCCCCTCCAGTCAATCATGAAGTTTCGTCAACCTTACTCCCAAATATCTCCTGATATATCTTTCTAACTCCCATTGCCCTGGTTCAAGTCCTTATTATTCCCATGAGTAAGATATGAATGAACTTACCAAACTGTTCCTCTTGACTTCTCTTGCATGTGATAGAATGACATGCTCTTACACTTTCTGGATGTGTATCAGAGCTCTTGATCATTGCCAGCCCTGCTTTCAGTCTCTGCTGAGTGGGCAGTGACTATGATTTGCATACCACATGATCTTGGTCCCCACAGCTGATTGGGTGCCTGACCCAAGGGTGGCTCCTTCTATGTGTTTGATCAGCCAACATATGATTTGGGTGGCTGGTTGTAAACTTGAGTTTAAACTGGTTGTAAATTTGAGTAAAATTCCCCTTTGGGGATTTCAGAATAGAGAAACTGAGAGACTCAGATGCCTGTATTGCTGAACAGAAAGCTCAGCAGACATGATGGGCATGAGCCGGCTGCAGTTATGAGAAAGCAGATACTGCGAGTGGGCGGGGGGCTGGTGAGCCAGGAGAGGACAGGGAAAGAAAGAAGCTGAGGCTCTATGAAAAGCGTGCTGCCTTAGCTTCTGTGGCTCTTGAAGACCGCTTCCTGAGGCTTGATACTACTGTAAGTCCTATTGTCAGATTTCCATGAGTTGCTGCATTATTATCAATAAACAAACAAATCAACTCCAGTCTGAGTGAACCCCTGCTTCCTGCCATAAACTGGCCAAAGAGTTCTGTGTTCCAGTAAGCCATTTTAATGTTATGATGAGACAGCCGGAAGAAAGCAGCACTGTAAGAACAGTAATATGTAGTCCTAAACTCAATGTTTATTCCACTCCTTTTTAAATCACTAGTTTAGGAAAAAAAGAGAAGGTTATAGCACTGTTTCCTTTGGGAGTGAGAGAATACTAGGCTGAGCTTCTTGTGTCAAAATTAGTCTTTATATAAAAACAAACTGATCCCTGCAAACATAATTTCAGAAAGGAAAAGAATGAAAATGACTACAAGTGACATGACATTGTCTGATACTTATCAACAGTGGGATAATCAAGCCACCTTTTAGATGCCATGTTTCTCGATATCTGCCATTCGATTTGCCAGCCGTTGGACCAGAGGGATTGCTGAAGTTCCCCAGGATTCTTAGTTACATGACTAGATTCCTCTCTCAAATAAGAATAAGTAAATTTATTGAAGATTTATAGGTAAAAACAACAGTAGGCACATATAATCAATACTCTGAATATGGAGTACAATCAGAAAGCATCTTTATTTATGTCTCTCACTATCCCTATAAAATGTGTTCAATGGGAAATTTCTTGCTCTGTTGAGGATTAAAAAAAAAAAAACAGGCAGTGTCAGGTTCTTTTGAGCATTCTCAGATGGTCACTTTATGTATTTAGCGTGTCTGTTCCTATGTTGTAATCGAAACTTAGAACTTGATTTAAAGTTAAGTCTTACCTGTAGCCCAATGAGAAGCCATGTGCTGATGGGAAGCAGTGGAAAGGGAAGGTCTTTCTTTCCTTGCTCCTGCCAGCTTCTGATCCTTCTAGGGTTGGGATGGGGGAAGGCAAGAGAAGTGAGGAGGGGCAGGAGTGGTGAAGTTGTGAAATGGCCTCCAGCTTTCTGGGCTTGGTAAACACTTAAAGCAGACCACATTTCACAGAGGCTTTTGTGGGTTCTTGGGAGATTGTGCTCATAGCTGGTGATGTCTCACCTGCAGTTCCCTTGATTCAGGCAAATCCGCTCTCCATTTGAGCAGCCGCTCGCTTCCTCAGCCCCTAGGAACCCAGAGTTCTCTCTCGGCTTCTCTTCTGAAGCCTGCCTGCACCTAAGGCTCCCCCCAGCCAGCCCTCTCTCACGTCTGGCCCACATCTGGATCAAAAGAAACACACACACGTTCTCCCCCTGGATAAATTCAGAGCAACAGCAGCTCTCCTTCACTCTGCAGTAGAAGCGGCTTGCTAGCCCCTCTCTCACGTGATTTCCCAGGAGGGAGTTCGCCACCATGTTCTTCCTACTCAGGGACACACATTAGGCTTCTTGATGAGTCCCACTTATGTCCCTTTCTCTTGACATTAGGTGACCCCCAACTTTTTACTTTGTTGGGAAATGAGAGCATACCTTTCTTTTAAAAAAATCCTCCAAATATCCTCTTTCCCCAATCTCCATCAATCCTTATGATCTAGTATGTCCTTTGAAGTGTGAGACCTATTGTTTCTTGGTGCCTCAGCCAACACTTTAACACCCTATAAGTATCTTATGGGTTTTTGTTTACTTGTTTGAAATTCTAATGTCAGAAATTTATTGTTTGGATGAAGTCCCCGTACTTCCTATACACCTATAACCACTTCGGTTAAACTCAGGCAAGAAGTGCTCCAAAAGAACAAATCTCCAGGGTCTCTGGCCAGCACACAGATTCTCTCTGCAGACCCTGAAACTCTTGGAACTTTTCCAACTGGTGGCCCAGGAGAAGGATCAGCAACAGTATGACACAGGGGCCACACAGCTGTCACACTGCCTGGAGCAGGGAAAAAGCAACACAGGATGCTCAGACATACAAGTGGGCCATCTTGTCTACAGCCCCTCTCCCCTGATAGTATTTATCTTTAATACATTCTCATTCTCAACACCCCCTCCATGGCTTCTATTCAACCATCAAAACCTAGTTTAAGTCTAATTTTCTGTGAAGCCTTCTTGCTACTTTCCCCATCTGGCTGCTGTACCATTTTATACATGTCTCCATTCTAGCCCTCACTGCACTACTAGTGCTTTACCAACTTGCCTCTCCTTGCTCCCCAAAAGACAGTGTGTAAGACAAGGACTGTGCCTTATTCATTTTTGAACTCCCACCACATACCATTGTGCTTCGGTGTGGTAGAGACTTCTATTAAATTTCTATTGCTGTGTAATAAATTACTACAAACTTAACAGCTTGAAACAACACACATTTATTATCTCACCGTTTCTGTAGATCAGAAGTCTAGGCATGGTATGGCTGGATTCTCTGATCAGAATTTCACTGAGCTGAAATCAAGCTGTTAGCCAGGGCTGTGGTTCTCATCTGGGGCTCAGGATCCTCTTCTAGGCTCACTGATTATTGACAGAATTCATTTCTTGAAGCTGTAGGACTGAGGTCCTCCCTTTCCTCCTAGCTGTTGGCTAAGATCTACTCTCAGCTTCTAGAGGCTGCCCACAGCTCCTTACCATGTGGCCCTTCTAGGCAGTTCACACATTGATATTTGCTTCCCTTTAGGCTAGCTGGAGGACGTCTCTCTTATTTCCTCTTCTGCAACCAGCCAGAGAGAACTCTGCTTTTAAAGAGCTCACCTGATTAGATCAGGCCCACCCAGGATAATCTTCCTTTTGCCATATAATATAACATAATCACAGCAGTAATATTTCATCATATTCATGAATTCTACTCACACTCAAAGGGGAGGGGGGGTTATACAAGGATGAGCGTTCATTGGGGTCATCCTAGAATTTTGCCTACCACAGGGCTCAATGAATATTTATAATATCATATAAGATGTGTTCCAGAAATTTGTAAATTATAAACACTGCTATTCAATTGTAAGATTTTTTTTCTTTTGTCATTCTGGAAGGCTTTTTAAGTTGCTTCCAAATTTGTGTTGGATCCAGAATGGTTGAGGATGCTGTATGTGAGATAATACAATGAGACCCCTGCAGTGAACCCAGGTAGAAATGGAAATTTGGGGTGGGTGGCAAGACCTGGTCTGACAGCTGACTGGCTGTGTGACCTCAGGCTAAGTCCCTGAAACTCTCTGAATGTCCAATTCCTCCTCATGTATAAAATGAAGGGGTGGGACTAGACAATGTATAAGGTTGGCCAGTTCTAATATTCTATAATTTCTAAGACTAAATCATACTGCTCAAATTAAAATCTAGCTAAGTGACTCACAATAGTTCACAAAAGAATTTCATTATAGATGAAATTGCAATGATGTGATTTTAAGGGGAAAAGGCAGTTTTAAGTGAATCCATTCCTATATTAGCTGAACCTGACTAAATATAAATAAGCGTACATAACTACATTTTTAATACTTTCCATAAAATGGTGAAGAATATTTTGCCTTTGGATGACATATCTGTCCAGTTATGGTCAGACGTGAATTTTCCCCAAGAGATTAAAACCTGATAAAACCACTGTTTTATAAGTTGAATTAACTCAATTGATGATAATTGAATAACTATCAAAGGCAGTCCTCAAATATTACGAATCAATTCACTGACTGTGTAAAGCATGTTGAGATTCTTATATATATTTTGGGGGTTTAAATCTTTCTTTTGTTTTTCTCTAATGAAGCCTCTTTGACTAGGTTAATTATTCTCTTCCACACAAAAAAATGAACTCTATTTTTAAACAGGTATGATTAAATCTGACTGAAATAGGCTTCATGCAGAAGTATTTGTTAAGACATCCCTTTATTGACTGTGCAGTTATTAACAATTCACATTTCACTTTATCTACTGAATGGAGGAGCATTTATTCTTTCATTAAAAAGTTAAGCCCTTAGGGCAGCAGGAGAAACACAGAGCCTTCTTCCTATAAACGGCACCGTCCAGTGAATATGAAATGCTTCCATATTAATACAAAAGATAAAAGTAAATAAAACAAATGGACTTCTTCTGCCCTCCATCATCTCCTCCCTACCAATACACTCCTCTTAGTTTATAAAATGCCAACAGGTAAACAGTGCCCACATTGGTACCTCCATCAATCAGGAGAGGAATATCAACATTTATTTGGCACCACTGAGTTCAGAACATCCTTAGGGCTGTGTGAAAGTGACAAAAAGAGTATGAGGCCATGGTCATTTCCTCAGGAAGATGCCTGCGGGCCAGAGAGGGTGGAAAATCATGAGGGTGTTCGTCAGCCTCAGGCACCTTGCTGCTCTAATTTCTGGAGCTGTTTTTCAAGTTTTGAGATGTTTACTCGATGCATCATCAGAAACTGGCCATTCAAATGAAAGACGGGGATGTCAAATTTATACCTTTCACACCACGCAGAGTTTTCTGGAAGTGTGATGTCCACCTCCTGTAAAATAAACTAAAACAGAGACAGACTAAAGCTGTATATTTTAGAGAATATGGAACAATGCAATGACTACAGTGACAAACCGATCCCCAGACTCATTCTAATGCTGAGAGGTTGTTGTTGTTTGTTTGAGGTCCAAAGCAATCTAATGTCCCTGATTTCCACACTTGATGGATTTCATTATATTCTCTAACTCTTGAATTTGCTACTTTTCTGTTACACCAGTTACATTCAGCATCGGGCACTACTCAATTCCCAATGAAATAAAATATGTCCCAACTGGGAAGCTGCTCGAGAATCAGGATAGATGCGTTTTGGTTGTAAGCATGGGAAAGGTGTCATGGTTTGCTATAGGAAAACACTTCCTTGGAAATGACAAGATAAAAGGAATGGGTACAAAAGCTTAAAGCAAGCAGGAATACTGCACCTGCTAGTGAACTTTAACTCATGTTAAGAGTCACAGTAAGAAAACCAGTACTGCTCAGAGAAAAACACTTAGGGGTAATGAGTTTTATGGAAATCAGCACTAAATTCTCTCTCTGAAGAATAGAAAGAAAATTTAAATGAAAAATAATTTAATATCTTTCCCTAAAGAAAGGATCCAGGCAGATACTTTATACCACATACACTATCTGTTCCATATACATAAAGCCACACTGTATTATATTACTCTGTTTTTATAAGGCTCCAGTACTTCCTTGGCTTCATCACAAAGGGGACATGGATCCTACAGGAAGAAAAAAATAAAGCCATTAAACCATAAGAATGGCATGCAGCCTGACAAAAATCACAAGAAGCAGATTATACTTATTTTAAAGGACTGTTTTCTACCAAGTTAATTACACTACTTTATTTCCAAAGCAAAACACTGTCATAGAATCTTATAAATAGCTAGTATTTAATGGTAAGTGGGCTCTCAGCATTTTTTAGTTGTTTTGTTTTGATTTTTCTCCATAAATAAAGCTATCTAATAAATTTTGATGTTTACATGTTACACACGTGTGTATATATGTATATATGCGTGTATATATGTGTATACAATGTATACACACACGTGTGTGACAAGTGTAAGCATCTAAATTTACTATATATGTATAGATAGATACATATACATACACACACAGTAAATTTAGATCCTTACATTTTTTGCTACTGGCTTCATCTAATTGATATCTGCGGAGATTCTTTTTCACTGATCTCTAGTCCTAGGGCTTTGTCCTTCCTATGTCAGGAGCCCTTTTCTGACCTGGCTGACATCACTAGAATGGCTCACATCTGTTGTGATTGGGGGCACTGAGCTTTGCCAGCCTGCGTTTCCTAATCGGTCCTCAGAAATAAACCCTTTGAGATGGAGTTAGAGAGTGATTGCCCCATCTTTAAAAAAAGGAAAAATCTCTATTTATTTTGGATGATGATTGTACCAACTCATTAATGTTTTGCCTGTTTTCTCATTACAAGTGTTGGCATTAGGTTTCCCGGACTAATTTTCCACCTGAGAAGCAAGCAAGCTTTAGTGCCCATTGTTTGCACTCTAACCAGCCAGTGGAGAAGTCTGCTGAGAACGTGTGGATCATTGGCAGATTTTGAAGGCTTCTCAGCCCTTGACTCTACGGACAGGGACAAGCTATTGGTTCTCTTGCATGAGCTCAAAATAGACTCAACGTTACCGATGCTTATATAAAACCTCTTTTTAACGTGACGGGAAGAGATGAGCTGTTATGTAAAAGCAAGGCCCCTCCTCCAGCTTAACTAGCAGCTTGTTTTGAAATAAGGACCCAGATCATCAAAAGGCAGTTTTCCTTCACAGGGGTCTTTCTGGCCCATAGAATTAGGCTAATCATTATTATTATTAGCATTATCAATAAACAGATTATGGATAGTCTGTGATGTTTTAAGATAATCATGTTGAAATTGTCTGAGAAAGTTTCAAAAGTCAACAGAGGACCTTAAAAGCAAAAGCAAAACAAGAACAAGCTAAATTGCAGAAGTACCAAATGTACTGACATTTTGCTTTCACATTAAAAAATAGTCAAGCCTAGATCAGGTTTTTTGTTTTGTTTTGCTTTTTTAAACATGGAAGTCTGTGCAAATTATCATGTGTGTAGGTACTTTTATGAGGAAACGTTCATCAAATTTTAGAGGCCTATGACTGAAAAAGGATAAGACCCAGCAGTCTGGACCATTCAACATTCTTCTCCAGGATTTTCCATAGTGCCAATAGAGCACTTATTTACTCTGTCCCTGAATTGTAGTGGAAATTTGTTGGGTTGGTCATCTACCACTCACTCCCCTTTCTTGTAGCAAGAATGCTGTGATTTTTGCCTCACAGAAAGTGCTCTCAGCGATGTGGCTGACTCCATCCCTGAACAACAAGGTTGGAACACCTGACTTAGGCTGAGGCATCAGCACATCCCACCCCTCTCACTATGTAAGGCTCAGCGATCAGCCAGTCAGAGCCAATGGATAGCCATGAGGCCTTTGCTGGCGTTTCTGTAGACGTGTGAGATGTGAGATCTGGGGTTTGGGATGGCTGCAGTCATCCATGAGAAGACCCAGAAGATGTGGAGCTGAAGAGATTGGTAACATGCTTAGTTTCAGAATCAAGCTACTCCTGGAACCAGACCAGCCCATAAATCCTTTTTGTTTTAAGCCACTCTGGGAAGTACTTTCTATTATTTATAACTGAAAGAGACCTGATATTGTACTTTTTCTCTCACTGGATTGTGAACTGCTGAAGGTGACAATGATATCTTATTATATGCCTAATGACACAAATCAAGGGTTCAATACAAATTTTAAGCTGAATGGAAGATTAGTGTGGTTTTTTTGGGCAGATGTTTTCAGCTAACTTAGCTGTTGCTCAAAGTGAAAAATAGTGCAGAATAGTTAGGCTGAGTGAGCTCCATTAGCCTTCAGGGATTGTTTTGTTTTTGTGGTTCATTCTCACATGCGTTTCCATGTGTAGACACAGATGATGAAATATTTTTCTTCCATAATTTCCAGCAGTGCAATATATACTTATGGATATGAAAAGCAGTTTAGATGAACTATTCTTAGCAAAAAATTAATTTTTAAAAACTACTTAAACTTTGTTATTAGATGACCATCAGATATTTTCAAATTGCTAAAATGCCTGAAATCTGAAAAATCTATTAAAGAGACTTTTTTTTTTGGTTTGAATTGCAGTATTATCCACTAAAGTTAATTCTATTACCCCCTGCACTTTATTTCTTTTTTGATTGTAAATCATACAAAGTAAGTTAAGTAGCAAAAGGAAATCAGAAATGTTTGTATTATAAATTTCAGGGGAAAAAGCTCTTAAAAAATTTAAACTAGCTTTATGGCTTAAAACTAGTGTTAGGGATAAGAAAACAAGTACAGCCAATCCTCATTACTTGTGGATTCTGTATTTGTGAATTCGCTTATTTGCTAAAACTTATTTGTAACCCCAAAGTCAATACCCATGGAGATTTGCAGTCATTCACGGACATGTGTGTGTATAGAGCAGTGAAAAATTTGAGTCGCCCAAAGTGCACGTTCCCAGCAGAGGTGGAACAAGACGATGCTCTGCCTCCTTGTTCCAGCTCTCATGCTGTAAACAAGTATCCTTTTCACGATCTACTTAGTGACACGTTTTTTGTATTTTTGTGCCTTTTGTTGGTGATTTTGCTGTTTAAAATGGCCACCAAGCATAGTGCTGAAGTGCTGTCTAGTGTTTCTAAGCACAAGAGGCTGTGATGTGCCTTATGGAGAAAATATTGTGTTAGATAAGCTTTGTTCAGGCATGAGTGTATAGTGCTGTTAGCTGTGAGTGCAATGTTAATGAATCAACAATATATATTAAATAAGGTGTCTTTAAACAGAACTCCTTGTTTAAAATAAAACAAGGTTAACTATTGATCAGTTGACAAAAAATGTTGTGACCAGAAGCTCATAGGAATCTAACCCTATATTTCCCCTAGGAGCAATGGTTCAGTACTTGCTAATTCAGTGTTTGTGGCGACCTTATAAAACAGTTATAACTATCACAAATAACAAGAACTGACTATACTTCTAGGTGACACATTTGTAAACATCATATTATAATCTGATAGTTCCCTCTTTCAATGTAGGGATCAGATGACTATTAAATATATCAACTTCCCCTCTGATAACTGTGAGACAGTGAGGTCTCTGGGTAGGACACAGAGTGACCACTGTTGTAACTGGAACTGCAAAAGTGAGAAGCAGGTCTGAAGAAAGTTTATTCCATTGCTTTCCTTTCAACATTTTTCCCCTTTCTTAAATGTACAACTTTTTTTACCCAACAACTTTAATACTTGATGTGTTTAAAGTAGTAATTTTTCTTTCTCACTCTGTACCTTTGTGAATAAGGTCAGCACAGGCAGAGCAGTCTTAGAGGCAGAGAGATTCCTCAAGATGAGTCGAAAGGAGTACTTGGCAAGTTGCAAGCTATTTCCTTGAAACCAGAGCATCTTAATTCTGCCAAAAGAAAAACAGACCAGTAAACTTATGTGCCCTAGACTTTGCTCTTTATAATATGAACAGGAAGCTGCAAGCCTATGATGGAATTTGAAGACTTCGGAATTGCTTCTTGGAGTCCAGGAGTGTCAAGAGAGGCCCAGAGGTTCACTGTATTCCAAACAAAAGAGAATTTAGAATGGAAAAAACACCCACATTTATGGATTAGCTGTGTGCCTAATCACTTGGTTTCTGTAAGCAAACTGCATGGGTTTGTTAATTTGAATACAAAATTAAATTTCACCTGCAGATTTTGCCAGCATCCTAATGATCCCCTAAAATGTGGAGGTTTCCTGAGACGGTTTTTATTCACAGAGATAGCTTATCTTATTGGCAAGCATTCACTAACACCCAGCCACTTTCACAGTAAAGGAAACAATAAACAAGCAGCACAAGTCCCCAGCTGAAGGCTAAAGCCATCACTTATGAGATCTATGCCCCTCTGCTGCAAGAGATGGGGAAACACAGGGCTGTACTCAGTGGAACTACAGGGGAGAACTAGGCTGGGTTAACTTGTCACAAATAAAAAACTACTCAACTCCTTAAGAAGTATTTTAAAAGGAGATTGCTATCATTTTCGAAAAGACACACAAATGTACTAGTGTTTCTACTGGAGACAGTCCAATAAAAACAGCTTGGTAATAGCAGCATGTCAAACATTAGGCTTTGAAGCCCCCTCATCCTGCTACTTTGCTTGACATAAGATATCTTACTTATTCCTAGTTATTCTGTTCAGCCTCCAGCTTTGTCCTTAAAACTACAAATACGATAATTTCACTTTTAAAACACATATGCTCTGATGACTTTATCATTTGTCAATATTTCCAAGATAAATTCATTCCTGGGATCTTCATTTCTTGACTTGACTTTACTCTGCAACTTCATCTATCACTTTGCCTCCCTTATCTTGGCAAGCTGCAGCTGCAAAGATTCTCTTTCTGTTTCTTAGATACCCAAAGATCATCATGATCTCTGCACTTGCTGTCCCTCTTCATGAAAAGCCCTTAAGTATCTTCTCATTTGGCCTGGGCTCATGTCACCTCCTTAGCGATGCCTTAGTGACTATCGTACCAGTGTGGCCAGCCCACCACTCTCCATCCTCATACCTTGATATAGTTTTCTTTTATCCTTCACTATCTAAAATTATTTCTTTACCTATTTGTTCCCTCTACTATAATGTGAGTTCCATAGGAGCAGCTACTTGTCCACCCCAGTATCTCCAAGTGTCTATAATTAACCTGGCACATAGTAGGTGTTCAAATATTTGTTTGAATGTTAAAAGTATTGCAGTGAGCATTTCTCCCCCTCTTTAGTCTCACTTCTAACCCCGATCAGACACTCAGTGTGCAGGGCAGTCACTATTTTTGGGCAGATCTCTTATTGTAACTAAAGGTTAGTGCTCCTCAGGGTGTCCACGAGATTGTGGGCCAGGCCGCTGCAGCTGGTCCCAACCCTTCACCACCACCTCGAATCTCCCCCTGCTCTGCTCCATAGAGCATGACTATATTAATTATGTGCTAATCTCTACTAGTGACTAGGCTTCTCAGTGTAAGATTAGCCTTCAACTTATTTGAAACAGAATGATATGACTTTAGAGAAAAATAGCAACCCGTATCAAACTAGCGTAAAGACCACAGGACAAAAAGATCAGATTCTGATCCATGAAAACAGTAATCTTTCCTTCACTCTTAAACCTGTAGTCTTCCACTTCTCCCCGGATCTCCCTGCTAACTAAATGATCCTGATAATGCATTAAAAAGGAATGTGATGAGAATTTTGCAAGGATCTGCTACCCAGCATTATTCCAGGGTGGAAAGTGGATCTAAACAATTTCACAATATGCTGTGCTACTCTCAACTAAGTGTTAAGCCCTGGTATGCACATTTTCTATAAATTCAGCAGAATCAACAACTCCAATAGGTGAATGTGGTTGGAGACAACAGCTTCTAAACATTGTCTCGCTTTGTCTACACAGGATGGAAATGAAGGGCGAAAGTAGAATGTTAGCCATGTTTACACTAGGTAGAAATTTCTGCATCATTGGTTTTGGGAAGGCCCTATGCCAACAGTGGCATACCCTCCTAGGGTATGAAGTTAAAAAAGCTGTACTATATGGAGGAGAAAGAAAATAAAAAACTAGTTTTGTTAGAGTAAAGGCAGAAAGACAGCCCTTGGAAATGAGATGGATCAGGCCATCTATGGCAGTGACCTTAGACTACAACCAGGACGGTAAACTGTAGCTAGATGATTTTGGTGTGGTGATTTAGGATTTATTGATGTCTCTGGCTGGTAAGGAAAGGAAAACTTATTGCTTTTACCTAGCTGAGTTGAGACTGAGGTGTTAAGGTTTTAAAAAAAAGATTCACATTCACAATGGAAATCTGCTTCAGTATTTTCAACATGACAAAACGCAGCATGTGGTCTTGGTTGTACCCAAGACAAATAAAACCTGTCATAGTAAACAGAGTTGCTATTCATTCCAGATTTGCTAGAATATTTGTTCAACCAATCCAGAGAGCTAAGTAAAGTCTTCAGTGATGCTACAACCATTCTGTTTAAAACTAGTTCTCTTTTCCACTGTTAGTCTCCATTTCTACTTTTTTACATGTATTTAATTACTTAAACATGGCACAATGTTTACTGAGAAATGAATTAGCATTATGCAATTTTACTACCTGCATATTTTCCAAATGCCCTAAGGCACATGCATTTTACCACACTGTTAAATTAACTTATTTCTTTGTAAGCATTGTATTATAAAATTATATTAGAGTGTGATATAAAGAAAAAGCTCCCTATACCTCTCCTAGGCAGAAATAAGATATTAAGGCTAAAATTTGAAACACTGGAGTCCACTTAGTTCTAGAAATAAAAAAATATAATGGAAAACAATACACTCCAATTGGAAGTCTATAATATTCTTCTTAGAATATTTTATTAACTCTGTAAACCCTAACACCATTGCTGTCAATGTCACATTCACCGAATCATGCCTTCTTGAAGTAAAATCTTAATACGGGCTACTCTGTCAATGTGACATTTTCATTAGTTCTATTATTTTTGAACAGTATCTCAGTACCATAAAAAAATATTCTGAAAGGCGGTCTCTGCCTGTTAGCTCATGACTGGAAAAGGACAACACCTTTTTGATTATGTCATTGAATTTAGTCATGAAATATGTGTCCTTACTACACACACAGACACAATTTTATCCTTTGTGTTTTGTTAAATGCCTCTGTGATATGAGAAAAAAGAGCCATGTTCATAATATCAAAGAAGCACAACTGGGTCACCTTTGTCCCAGACAAAAAAAAAAAAAAAAAAAAGCAAAAGGCATAAGACTGGATTTAGAATGTGCCTAAAACAAATTCCACAGCCTAATAATAAAGATGGTGACTCCTGCTGTTTCAAGTCCACTGCCGCTCAGAGGCACAGATCGCCCTGAAAGAGAAAGAGAATGCTAGCTTTTCAACAAAACTGAGGCTGACTTCAGTGGTCTTTATGGCAGAATCAAATACAACATGGGGGGAGGACTGATTGGACCAATTCAGCCCTCCTTGATGCCAGATAAGGATGATAACTTAACTTTATAGCTTTTTCCCTGCGAAGCACTGAAGGGCAGACCATTAAAACAACTGATTATAGTACAGAAAGAAGCCAGGGTCGTTTGAGCCTTTATTAAGGATTATTCATTTCTTGCATGACGAGCTGCCCAGGCTATGGCTGTACATCACTTATGTGGGGCTCCTGGATTCTTCAAACACTGTATGTGTCTGATTAGAAGGCAAACAACATTGCTCTCGCTTGAGTAGAGAAACTGACCTTCACTGACCAGAATTTTTATTCATACAAAGAATCGTTTGGCACACCAAATCTCCAAGCTCACGTGATCCCTCATCAGCAAGCTGCAGAGTTAGTTTGTGTGCAAAATCAAAAAGTCTATATACACCCAGGTACCGCCTTGGTTATTATAGGTAATGTTGGAGCTTCTTCACAAGAGTATAATGTAAATTTAATGCTGAGCTGACATTAACCAAACACTATAACCGTAGCTCTCACTGAACCTGTGTTCCATAAAGAGAGGCTCTGGGCTTCCGTTTACTCATTTGTGCCATGTGAGATGTTAAGTGCTCCATTTCACATTCATTACCATCTAAGTATAATGTTCCTATTTCTACCCAAATGACTAGAAAAACACACACACATACACACACACACATCCCTCTATTGGGAACAAAACCCATATTTTAGATTACTGCAAGTTTATGTAATGAGGTGATGTTGCTCTTAAGGGATTCACCTGGGTCACTGGGCTCTACCTAATCCAGGGAAACAGGGACAAATGATGCCTCCCCAGTGCTCCTCTGGGCTTTTGGTCAGTCTGCTGTGTCCAAACCTCCCTCTCCCCCAAACAAGTGGGAGCCTAGCCTGGGATCTTGAGTGCAACTGTGGAGCCAAGAGTGACAAGGAGAGGCAGCATATAGGGACACAATCAAAGCTGAAAATTGAGCAGATACTTTGAGGTGTCAATTCCAAGGAGCTAAGCAGGGCTAGAATGAGGCTATAGAAGAGAAACAGGGAGTCGAGGGTAGAAGGCCCAACCTGGAGAGGGGCCCTCACTCACTGGTGTGGATGGGATCCAAGGTGCTTTTCCAGCACCTCAGCAGTCAGGGTACCTGGCCAGGGGAACTTCCTAGGAAGTGGAGCCAACTCAGACAAGATGTTGCGACAAAGATCCCGAGCTAACCACCCACCTGTGGGCCCACGTGTACGTGGTATCATGCTCAGCTTCATTCTTTTTTTTCAATTGAGGTATAACTGACATATAACATTATATTAGTTTCACGTGTACAACGTAACGATTTGATATTTGTATACATTGCGAAATGATCACCACAGCTCCATTCTGGCTATGCAGTTGGACTGCTGATTAGATCCACATAACACATGAAACCATGAGTAGGCCC